ATAATTATTATTGTCAATGAAATGTAGTGCTATTTGTCTGTTTATGTATATGTTTAATGCTGGTAAACTGGTTATTTGTCCCACTCCACTACAGAAAGAAACAATATTGCCATTTAAAGTTGAGATTTACAACACGTTTTGTGATCACTTCTATTGTATGGGTAGGAAAAAGCAAATGACCACATTTGGATATGATGAAATCCATGAGAATAAATAATAATGAGTGTGATGAGAATGGTAGGAAAAAGACTTATAAAAAAGACTGCTTATGTGTTTCCATGATCATGGGACTATGTCACGTATGCTTAGATAAGTTGCAGTTTCCTGTGGGTGATGACTTTTCCCCCAGTAACTGGAGGCTACGTAATAGTTCATAGGAGCCTCAGTTTTGTAATTTGGAAAAACTTAAAAGTTGAACCTCTATTCAGTGTATGTGTAAGACTGCAAGTTAATTTCTTAAGGAAGCAGTAAGTTGTAGGTTTTTGGCTTTTTCCCCCAACTAAAACTTTTTCATAAAAAGAAAATGTTTTAGATCTTAGGCGAGAGTAGTAAATATTAAAAAGATAAAGTATCAAGTATGTTGCCCTGTTTAAAAGGGTGCACATGGAAATAGTAAAGCTGTGAAGTATCCTGTGTGTGGATAATATTGACACATTAAACAGATGTCTAAAAGGCTTCACAACACATGACCCTGTTGTCCTAAAGCTTGTGAAAGCTGTTTTACTGTAAGTTGGGTAAATATCCTAAACTGTGGCTATGATTCTTAATTTTATTTGTGTATTATTAATAGTTTTGCTTTATTCAGAGGGCCTGTTATCAAGTATTCTCTCTTAATTGTGTATAGTTCTAATGGTTTTCTATGATAGTAAATAAGACTTTAGTTTTCGTGTGGTGAAGAGTGTTTTGTTACTAAATGGTTTACCATCTAGTAAAGAAGCAGGAGTAAAAGGGAACTGGGACTATGTCACGTATGCTTAGATAAGTTGCAGTTGTTGAGGGCTGGTTTCATCATCTGCTAAATGAGTCCTCACTGATCAATCTCCTTCAGGGTGCATAAGGCAGTGGGTTTTGGATTATTTTTCTGATTGGCCTTCAGTACCACATATTACTGTCACATCCAATGGGTCCTTCCTTTTAGTTGTAGGATTATTAATAGGTACTCTTTAGAAACAAGATAATAGCTATGAAACAACCCTGAGGCATCCTAACTATATAATAAAAGCCTAATATTCGAATTGTTTAACCGGGAGTTCGACTGCTCACTGTTCCATGCACTGACCACCAGGGGACGGCATACAACTTGGTGGGTGTCAGCGACGCAGTGCTGGCAGTGGGCGGCAGTGGAGGTGCTGCCAGCCCCGATGGCCCCCGATGAGAGCGGGACTGTGGCGGGATGGTGGAGCAAGTGAGCGGGTGGCGCCAGGCTAAGGCAGGTGTGAGCAGGGGCCCGATTGCCCCACAGACAGAAACCACTGGCGACAGCAGGGGGTGGGGCCACCGCCCAGCTCCCAGGCACTGAGGGAGCCAGACAGGGGGCCTGGCCCGATCAATCGCCCCGCAGGCAGGATGGTGGAGCAGGTGATGGGGTGGCACCAGTCCACAGAGGGGCTGCGAGGCTGGGAGCGTGAGCTGGGGCTGCAAGCCTGGTCCAGTGTGAGCTGGGCCCCGATCCCCACAGGCCACCCCAAGGGACCCCACCCATGCACGAATTCGTGCACCAGGCCTCTAGTAGTATAAATAGTAATGTCTTAGTCTGTATAGGCTGTTATAACAACAATACCGAATACTGGGTAGCTTATACACTATAAAAATTTATTTCTCATAGTTTTGTTTGGAGTCTGGGAAGTCCAAAAAACCAGGTGCCAGAAAATTCTGGAGGCTGGTGAGGGCCCTCTTTCTGGTTCATCCACAGATCAGCACCTTCTCATTGTGTCCTCACATGGTAGAAGAGGCGGAGGAGTTCAGTTGGGTCTTTTTTATAAGAGCACTAATCCCATTCACAAGGGTTCTAACCTCATGACCTAAGCACTTCCCAAAGGCCTTGCCTTTTAATACTATCACATTAGGTATTAGCCTTTTTTAAGATATGAATTTTCGGAGGAGACACAGTTATTCAGACTATAGCTAACAGCCACCACATATATTACTACTTTGTATGTATTAACATTAATCATTTTGCTATACTTATTTTAAATGAAGTAACTTAGTCTCAGAGATGTCAAAATAACTTTCCTAGGACACAAAGTCACTTAAGAGGTAGAGCCAAAATTGGGAAATAGGTCTGTCCAGCTCCCAATGCTCTTTCTCTTCTGATTTTGCATAGTTAATATTGAACAGAGTCCACATTTTGGTACTCCTGATCCCATACTTTGATGTTTGTTAGTGCAGTCATTAAAAGCCTAAATTTCAGAATCACACTGCTTGGATTTGAATTCCCACTGTTTCTGAACTTTATGATTTTGAGCAAATTCTTTAATCTCTTAGTGCCTCACATTTCTTATCTAATTTATAAGGCAGCTGTGAAGATAACATGAAATAATGTAAAGCACCTAAAATAGATATCTGACCCATAGTAAGAGCTCAATACCTGTTCATTGTTGTTGTTCTTATTATTTAACATTACATCTATTTTCTCTAAGTATTTTTTGAACCTCCAGCTAATGCTTTATGCTTTTTAGTTAATAACATTTTATAGGTGATTTCTAGAAGTATATGTATGATATACTTTATTTATATATATACTTTTCTGACAAATAGAAATAAATTTTTAACTTTATAATTTTCACAAGCAAAAAACACATCCTTATAGGCATTCCTTGAACAGCAGAGTTAACACAAAATGTGGAGAAAAGTGTAGAGAAGGGATGAAGCTGGAGCTGTAACTAGTTAAAGACAACTCCCCAAACCTTTCTAACCACAAATTGGATTTGTAAAAGGTAAAAAAATTATCAATATTAATCACATTAAAATTCTTGAAATTTTTCTCTTGCTACTTTTTTATTCACTTATCTAGTCAAAGATACTTACTGGTATTGAACGTTTTCTGTGTGGCTGGTTCTATTCTAAATGATGATTAAAAAGAAAACAGTTTAAATAAACAGCCCTGCTCTCATGGGGCTTAAATTTTAATAGGGGAATAAAGGTAAAATAAAGAAGTAACAGTGTATATTAGAAGATGATAATTGCTTAAAGAAAATAAAGCAGGGAAGAAAGAAGGAAACCCAAGAAATGGTGATGATGATTGGGTGTTGGAATTTTTAAGTGAGTGGTATGGGAAAGCCTTAAGGAGAATGTGACATATGAGCAAAGATTTGAAGGACATCCGTGTGAGCCATGTGGATGGGTGTCTGCGAAATGAACATTCCAGGAGATGGAAGGGCAAATGCAAAGACCCTGAAGTAGGAACATGCCTGACACATTCAAAAGTTAGTGTTATTGGCTGAAGTAAACAAGGAAGAGAGGGCGATATTGTCTGGGGCCTTGTACGTCAAAGTAATAACTTTGGACTTGACTGAGGTTGATGACGATCCTATTCAACAATTAAGAGCAAAGGAGTACTGACTGGACCATTTAATAGGATATGGCTGCTCTATTGAGAGTAGACTGTAGAGGTAGGCAAGGGTGAAGCAGGGTGTAGACCTATTTAAAGGTTACTGAAATAATTCAGATGAGAAAAAGATGGTGGATCAGTTGATGGCTCAGTGCTCACTCATAGCAAACCAGGGGTGATATGTGGTTAAAAATTGATTAAATGTTTGCTGAAAGATTGGTGGAGAGTGTTAGATAAAGAGAAGAGTCTTTTTTTTTATGGTAAAGGTAAGTCATGACTTTTATTTAATGCATTATAAATAAAACCATTTGCACCAGCCCTAAAGTTTCTCTTGTTAATGTACTAGGTATTTTAGTTTACTTTGTAGTAAATCCACCATGTTATAATTGAAATTATTGATGCTACAGCAAAATGGGAAAGTATCTTAATAATTATTTTATTAGTTTATACCAAGCATTGTCAAATTATGGCCCAGGGGCCAAATCTGGTTCATACATGGTTTTTGTAAATAAAGTTTTATTGGAACACCCGTACATACATTCATTTACATATTGTTTATGGCAGCTCTCCTGCTTTTAAACAATAGAAGCCCACAAAACCTAAAATATATACTACCTAGCCCTTTATAGAAAAATGTTTGCTGACCCTTGGTTTAGAATACTGTTTAAGAGCTGTGTCAAAATTTTTCTCTGATCTTTTTTCCAGCCACTCAGTGTTAAAGTATAAAGATAAAATTTAAGAGAAGACAGGAAATAACAGAGAAAACACAAAGGAAGTGTTCAAATACTGGCACCAATTTAATTTCTTCCACATACGTTAATCTCCTTATTTATTTATTTATTTATTGATTGATTGATTGATTGATTGATTGCTATAAATATCCACTTCCCCCTAGTCTCTGTAGTACTCTGTGCTGGAAAATAAGTACAGCTGACTGGCTGGGGGTGGGGAGAGGTAGGTTTTTCTTACCAGTAAGACTAATTGTTGATTCCACAGCCTTGATAGAAAATAAAAAATGAGTATTAGCATCGGTGTGAGCATCGGTCTTTATGAAGAATTTGACTCTTCTTATGTTTGTGTAATCCTATGACAAAGGACAAAAAAGTAAGACTTTCAATGTTGTTTTCTTTCATAGGTCCATAAGACGGATCTAAATTTCACTTCAGCACTGCGCCGCCTCTGAGTCTGGAAATAATATTCTCTTTACTCCTAGTTGTAGAATTTCCACTCAGCCAGCCCTCCTGTGGCTCTGGACGTTGTCCTTTCCCTGGATCAAGCTTAATTTGAATTGGTTGTTCAAGGCAGCAATCTCTGGTGTTAACCTATGCCGCCATCTTCGGTTCTCCTCGTGAGCATCGGTCTTTATGAAGAATTTGACTCTTCTTATGTTTGTGTAATCCTATGACAAAGGACAAAAAAGTAAGACTTTCAATGTTGTTTTCTTTCATAGGTCCATAATGACGGATCTATACTACCTCAGTCAAACAGATGGAGCAGGTGATTGGCGGGAAAAAGAGGCCAAAGATTTGACAGAACTGGTCCAGCGGAGAATAACATATCTTCAGGTAAGAAGGTTAGGTAAAAAATAAGCTTGAGTGAAAAAGAAGGGAAATCATAATAAAACTAACAGTGAGAGTTGCTATTGATTTCTAGTCATCCTAGCCCTTGCTCTTTTGAGAGTCCTTACTCATTTTACATATTTATTCAGACTCTCTGTGATGCCTTGAGTGGAATACAAAGATGGCTAAAACAAGGCCTCTACCCTAAAGGGGGCTGCTACTTATACACGCCTGAGCACACACACACGCACATACAATTATGCAAAATTGAAAGGTGTACATTTTATATGAGAAATATAGATGGAATCCTCAATGGAGAAAGAAGATGTTAGGGATAGTTTTGTGAAAAAGGTATTATTTGAACTGAGCTGTAAAGGATAATTAGGTAGGTTTTAGACACTTGAGTGGAAGAGAAGAACACACTAGTTGGAGCATATGATGTGAGTAATGATCCATAGCTGGGAAAGGGCAATATAGGAACCCAGTGAGATACGGGATATTTTAGTTTGCCTGGAGTTTGGGGTTATATGAAAGGAGGGATGAAAAATAAGCTGGAAGAAAGGTAGATTTGGGAGCCAGATTGCAGAGGTCCTTGGGTGCAGGTTAAGCTTTATGATATATTAGTAGTAAGTGGTTACTGAAATATTTCATTTATTGCACAATAAATAGCAAAGAAAAAATCAAGGTTAAACCCCAAGTTCCAGACCCTTTTAAATTTATTCTCTTCATTTTTTATTGTTCTTTTTTAGTTATTAATATTCATACCCAGTCTTACATATTTGTGGGGATAGGATTGATTTACTTTTGATTTTTTTTTCTTCATCTGCCAAAAGTTTTTGAAAGGTTTTTACACATAAGAGTGACATGATGAGAATGCTTTAGCGATATTAATATGAAATAGTATTTTGGTTAACTGTGTTAGTATTGGAAGAGACTAGAGCAAGGAGACCATGTAGGATATGAGGACCATACAGCAAGTGAGAATTATTGAGCTATGTGGCCGTTTGCATTGGAAGTGAAGAGGCAAATTTGAGAAAGACTGGGAAGATAGAATCGATAGGCTCTTCGAAGTAGTTAAAGAGATGAAGTGACTAGGGATATGGAGGCATCATTAACTGACGGGAACTTACAGGTGGAATAGTGTTCAGTGGAATACAATATTAGTAAGTAGAATTTTTCAACACTTGTGTTGAAATTACCATGCCTATCCTTTTAAATACTATTGATGGTATACTTTCTGTGTACAATCACTGCTTTCCTTTAAAGGTTAAAAGCAGCATACTAGCCAGTTACTGGGTTCTGTATATTTTAAGGTGCACATTTTCTTATACTTAAATAGAGAAAAATAGAAAATCAAGTGTTTAAAGAGATCATTAAAAACCAAACTGATCTTGGCATGCTGTCTTGGTCTCATACTCCCGGGGACATTCATCAGAGGTGTCTGTAGAATGAGAAACGCTTGCCTCCTGTAGGGAAGAGGTAATTATATCCTATCAACTAGAACCTCATTCAATGAACTGTAAACAGCTCGTGGAGCAGAGCTATCATCCTCATTTAAAATGGAAATAGCTATGGTTTCTGAGTTTCTTACATTTCCACATTTTTTAAGTTTTTACCCAACAAAATTTATATTTAAACTATGCTTTGATCATGGTTCAGCTCCCCACACTGTAGCAAGAAACTGCGTTAGTTTTTTTTTTTTCCTCTTGGTTTTTAAGTGGCCAAGTGCTTTCACCTATAGTGCAAATTTGATCCTTTATGTGCTGATTACTCTTTTTCTATATTGGAGAATTTCACTTTAAGTCATGTTAATGCATTAAAACTACATTGGTTTTTTAAAATCTTTTAGGCTATAGCAAAACAGCATTTTACTTCAACCTTAATTTCAATTTTAAATATTACTATTTAACAAATCTTTTATGCTTTTTTTCCACCAGAAAAAAAGAAAAAGTGATTTTTAATATTCAAGAAGATAGTGGAAGTCTTAGTAAAAAAAGGTTTCAGAAAAATAATTTTCTTTATTTATTTTTGTTAATTATTTAATATTCATGGTCATTTTTTCTGGGTATTCTAAAAGTTTTTGAAGTCAGGAACTATATTTTTAACATCTTAGATGTCACTCATGCTTCATCTTCTCTGGATAGAGGTGAATAAGAGTCCTTTCTCCCATTCCTCCCAAATTAAAAATACGTATTTTTAAGGAATGCCTTCTATAACTGGAATATTTATTCCCAGTGTATTTTTAAGCAGGACAGCTCTTTTAAAAAGAATGCTTTTTCACTAATTTAATGAAATGGATTAGAAAGTTTAATCAGAATAGTGGGACTGTTTATCTGGATTTTAAAGTGATTACATTACCCTGGCCAGTGTTGCCCTCTCTTTTCCTCTCTCTAAAATCAATAAAAACATATTTAAAAAATAAATAAATTTTTAAAACTAAAAGATGATAATAATTTGTATCTAAGTAGGCAATAATAGGGGAAAGGTACAATAAAAGCAAATGTTTTTAATATTTAAAACCTCTTTGAGAGACTTTAGTCATTTAAGTACCTAATTATATTCCTGACAAATAATTCAAGACTCTATAATTTACTTTCAAGGAATGATTTGGATGGTTGAAAACATTTTCAATTTTACTAGATTTTTACTCATACTGAAGTTTATCATACATACTAACGTATGTATGACTCATACATCACCAATAAACATTTTTTAAAATCCTATTTTATTTAGAGTATAGCACATCACTTGAGATGATCATGTGGTTTCTTCCTTTTTCTTGTTGATGTGGCATTGATGAATTTTTGTATGTTGAACCACCTGAGTGGATAGAGATTATATCTGAATAGATAGAGACGGGTCATTATACTATATTATCTATAAAAATCCAACACTTTTACATGTATATGCACCATCATTTCTTCTATCAAGTTAATGCATATCAGAGGCTACCTAGGATTAATGGAAGAAGTGTAGTTAACATTCTGCCAATAAAATAGCCCTGTGGCTTTGGGTTTTTCTCTTCTTCAGATCTACCTGAGGTTTCTGGGTTTTTGTTTGTTTGCTTATTTGGAGAGTTCTGTTTGGGTTTTTTGTTGTTGTTATTTGTTTGTTTTATTTTAAATTTTGGTCTGAATCATCTTCCCCTGGAGTGATTAGAGTGGCTGGGCTTGGGTTTGGAAGTGTCAGAGCTAATAAAGGAACTCATATCTTGAGGCTGTATCATTGGAAATAAAGAGAGGGTTTTTATAGTATGCCACATGAGAGGGTTGATTATGTTTAAAAGGTTAGGGATAGGAGCCGAAACCGGTTTGGCTCAGTGGATAGAGCGTCGGCCTGCGGACTGAAAGGTCCCAGGTTCGATTCCGGTCAAGGGCATGTACCTGGGTTGCGGGCACATCCCCAGTGGGAGATGTGCAGGAGGCAGCTGGTCGATGTTTCTCTCTCATCGATGTTTCTCTCTATCTCTCTCCTGTCCTCTCTGTAAAAAATCAATAAAATATATTTTAAAATATAAAAAGGTTAGGGATAGGATAGATACTATTGGCTTTGCAACCAAAGGATCCAGTAGCTTGCCCTTTGTACTTACCTAATGGGTGAAAAAAGAAAGTAAAGCTGAACCCTTAGAGAAAGCTGGTAAATTTGAGTCCTTCCTGTGTTCAAAGCCTATATTCCATAGAGGCTTTAAATAATTTCTTTAAGTGTTCAGTGTTAGAGTTCTTTTCTTCAAACGAATGTTATGTTTTCCTTTTACATAAAAAGATAGTTCTATATTGTTCTCAAGATTTGAATTCCTATTTAATAAAAGAGTAATATGCAAATTGACCATTACTCAAAAACACAAGATGACCATCCCCATGTGGACACAAGATGGCTGGCAGGGGAGGGCAGTTGTGGGTGATCAGGCCAGCAGGGGAGGACAGTTGGGAGGGACCAGGCCTGAAAGGGAGGGCAGTTGGGGGCAACCAGGCCGGCAGGGGAGGGCTGTTGGGAGCGACCAGGCCGACAGGGGAGCAATTAGGCATCGATCAGGCTGGCAGGGGAGTGGTTAGGGGGTGATGAGGCTGGCAGGCAGAAGCGGTTAGGGGCAGTCAGGCAGGCAGGCAAGTGAGCGGTTGGGAGCCAGCAGTCCTGGATTGTGGGAGGGATGTCCCAGATTGGAGAGGGTGTAGGCTGGGCTGAGGGACTGCTCCCCCCCGCCCCCCCGTGCATGAATTTTGTGCACCGGGCCTCTGGTTGTTAAATAAAAGTTGGCTTATCATTTTTAAAAGGGAGCAAATGTCACTGGAAACACAAAATCATAAGTTTTCCAATAAGCAAGTAGCATTATAGATCTGAGTTAAATGTGCATTAAATGTTTTGAAAATGTGGTAGGCTTAAACTAAAGGCTTTTGTTTCTGGATAAGAAGTAGTGAACACATGATATGCTATTCTTCCTGCTAATTACAACGAAAAGAAATCCTGTACAGAGTGAAATTCCTGTGCTTTGTTTTGCCTCCTGTGTATCTTAGAACCTTCCAACCAGTGGGTGGAACAAACAAACAAACAAACATTTTAAAAAAACCACCATTTTGATATTTATCTACCCTATTCCAGGGGAACATCATGAAAAGTTGCTTCCCTACCCTCTCTGGGTGCCTCAGCTGTGGAGATTGAGCACATAGCCTTGTCACCACACCTGCCCTGACCTAATGAAGGCACCCCTACCTCTCCCAACTGGTATTAGCATTGCAGAGACTTTGGACAAAGCCCACATTGCCACACTGCAAATTGAGGCAGTTCCCTTCCCACTCCAACTTGAGTTGAGGGAGGGTTAGGATGAGGAGGGAGTTAGAGAAAGGGATTTTTGTGTTTGAAATCCCAGGCAGACCTCTGACTGTCATGCATGAAACTGATCAGAATCACTACAGAAAGAGGTTTGATTGCTAAACTCTCATATAATATACTATTCAGGCTTCAGAATGGCAACTAGGTAGCCCACAAGTGGGCAGAACAAAATACCACTG